TCGAGTGATTATTTTGTTTTTGGTTTGCTGGCATTTGCTTATCTTATGTCATCTTTTTCTTTCCTATTTTGTTATGCTATCTTTTGTTTGGCGAGCAATTACTCAATTAAAATTTTATTAAAGTGCAATTTCTTGAACATCGAGTTACAGTTTACTAATCAAGTTCTTCAAATTTATGAGCTAGCTTATCCCCATAAACGTGTAAGTCCATTGAGCTTCTATTTGTACAACTTAATGCCAGCCTCCATTATGATCTAAAAGTAGTATTATAACTTAGTGTGATCCTCTATTTCTACGACTCAATGCGAGCCTCCATATCACAATCTAAAGGTAAATGAACTTTTACATAATATATTTCTCCATAAATTTACGGTAAGGACTGGTATACACCATGAGTATAGTATACTCCAAGTTATCTGGCCGTTAGATCTCCTTTTTTGGCTCCGACCAATTTCAACGGTCAATTAGTATTTTTTATTAAATTGAAACTACTGGGTCGAGTTTAGAGAATCGGGGGCTAAGGTTTATCTATTAGAGGTTAGGGTATAGTATCATACTCCAAACTCGATTTAATTCATGGTCTAGATAGAGATATCTCGTTAAGAGTACATGGAGTATAGTATCCTACCGGAGTACACAGTCCAACCCTAAATTTACATATTATATTTTTAATATATGTAACTATTATAGAACGATGTTATATAAATATGTCGTCTAATAACAAAATAAAGTTATAAAATATAATCACATTTGAAAACGACAAAAGAATATAAGCATATGAAAAAATTAAAAACAATGGCCAAAACTGCTAATAATAGCAAAAGAAAGAGTGCAAAACTTGATTGTGAGGACAAGTTGAAAAATTCGAGAATTGAATTTTATTATGGTGGAGAAGTGAACATGTGGTCAACACAATAAAACCCATTATCACTTTCTAATATCAACTGGAAGGTTTATTGGTTTAACAAAATAGCACGGCAGAAAATTTATAGCTTATTGCATGGTTAGCCTCATGCGAGTAAATAGAGGTATATCCTAGGGGTTCCTGTAGGAGAAAATTCCATTAGTTGTATTTAAATAATTTAAAACAAATCGGTGAACAGTAACCCGAGAAAACCGTAAGGAACAGTAATTTTTTTGGGTTACTTACGCCTTAATTATTCTAATAATAATAATACTTGCAAGAATAAACCCAGTTCACACAAGAGCTAGCAAAGATAAATTATGCAAGATCCAATCATCAGGATTTCTTAGCTAGGAGCAAAATAATTCAGTACACAGATCAAAGATCATATCTATTTGATTGATGCAACAAAAGGCAAAATGAAGGATAGTTCTCTATGGCAGAGGAGGCCGGCGAGAGAGAGAGAGTTTTTTTACACTCTCCTCTGGGTCGGACTCAGAGATGGAACAAATTGAAATCAAATGAATCGACAACGAAGCAACAAGTATAAGCAGAAACTTAGCTAGCTAGCTAGCTAGTGGAATCCAACAAGGAAAGACCAACAAATGGTAGGACATGCTCACATGCATGATTCATCCATAAAATCAAACACATAAACAAGGTAGAACTGAAAATAAAACTAAAAGAGAATAAAACAGGACATCCCGCAGGGGAGATGGAAGTGGAACAGTCAAACCGAGAGAGAAGCTATGGATTGGTGACCGAGGGAGGGGAAGCGCTAGGCAGCTCAGAGAAAAGAAGGCTCAGCAGAACTTGATCCAGAGCTTAGCAGCAAGGCCTCGGTCGGCGGAGTTGCTGCCTAGACTGGAGGTGGGGGAGATGACGGCGCGGAGCTCTACATGTTTGGCATAATCAATTCCCAATTGAGAAGCCGCGATGGCGTAGGAAAACCAGTCAACGAGGGCCAGAGGATGGCAAAAAACTCGAGTCTTTGGGCACCCTTTGCTGGCTGCAAGGAACAGAGCTACATGAAGACGAGAAGAAATCACCGGCGGGAGGAGGAAGCGGTGAGAGGCGGTGAAAGGGCGGTGGGTGGTGTCGTGCGAAGCCTCCGGAGGAGAGAGGAGAGAGTCCCTTTGAATGGATGTTGAAAGGAACATTAAACTGAGCTTAGCTTATTACTTACGTACATCTCGAGTCAAGAATGTCAGCCCTTTGATACTTAGATTACTAGGTTATTTCTTATTAATTTTCTAACCTCAATCTAAGCTTTTCATAGGTAGGCGGTTTATAGGTAGGGCTTGAATATATTTAGAATGGTTGAGAACAATTGAAACAATTCAATGCTGAAAAGATCAATCACAAAGATGGTCAAACAATTCAATACTGGATATATCAGCAAGAACTACAACAATTGCCAATCACAAACAATATAAACTCTATAAATTAATATAGGCTGGATTGTGAAAATTATTAATTTAAATTATTTATTAATTAATTGATAAATTAATAATTTGAAGAGGTTTTTCTTATGACATACGTTCATCATATATTCCAAACATTTCAAGTTCATACGACAACTTATCGCATTCTACGTATTCATTGTTTTCGACATTGCAGAATTCGTTCAAGGGATGTAGCCGGTTCAGGTGATATAAATTTTAAAGAAGATGTTAATCAGCCTGAGGATATGATTAATGGTATGGGTTATCATAACATGATGGATGTAAGTCATTTTTTGCCGTATCTAGGTGAAAATGATGAATGTATCGCGACACAAACGTTAGAAAAAATTGTAGCTTATGTCATTGGGGGTTCGATTGGGGATGCAGGAGATGACGATTCCATACCTTTGGAACCGGTCACGCGGAAAGAAGCACTTAAAGCCGCATCGGCTCTTCAAAAATACTTGATGCAATTAGAGAAGACAACACCGTAGACTTTGAGTGCAATGAAAAAAGTTCAAGATGAATTTCTATTAGACTTGAACTTCAAAAATAAACAAACAACTATATATACATATTTTTCTAGATTATCCTACATATATAATAAATTTTTAGATAAATTTTATTTTTTACAATTATTAATTTATAGAGTTAAAAATACAAGTATTTATTTAGGTTGGTTTTAAAAAAATTATTATTTTAATATTTATTCAATTTGCTCATTTTTTACACTGTCCCAAGCGGGAGCTGATCAAGTCAATAACTTTGTGGTCAATAACTATGCATAATCCAATCAAAATTCACCACATCAGCGCTAGGGGTGTCCATCTGGTTGGATTTTTCGGGTTTACCCGAAACCGACCCGATTATATACATTTTCGGTTTTTTGGGTTTGGATTCGTTTCGATTTTCGGGTTTTTCGGTTTCGGGGTTGCTTATCGGTTTTTCGGGTTCCGGCTAAAAACCTCCAATGAATAGAACTCAACTCGTATTCTTAGGCGTTCGGGTTTTCGGGTTTCGGTTTTGCTTTAACCGAACCCGAACCCGATAGGAATTTTCGGGTTTCGTGTAACCGGAACCCGCAAGTCCTTATCGGGTTCGAGTTCGGTTTTAGTGATTTTCGGGTTTTTGGGTTTTTCCGGGTTTCGGTTCGGGTAACAGAACCCGACCCGAACTGACACCCCTAATCAGCGCCCCTTCTCTTTTCTGAAAAACCTTTAATATTCCCCCCTTAATCTTTACCAGACGATTTCTCACTCGTTTTAAGTCAAAATTTAAATTTGTTTGCACAGTTAGATCAGATAAATTATGCTTTTCCAAATGAAATCCATTTTGATAAATTTTGGAAAAAAATTGAGTCATTTTTTACAAGTCTATACCATATGGCATTGACTGGTATTGAAATAAGAGCATACCTATGGTATGAAAAGCGTACCATGGTGGTATGAACAAAACAAGACTGTAGGATGGTTGAATACATGATAGAAGTATACTAACTGTCATTTGCGACTTTCAACATTGTGTAGATCCAATAGATCATAATGAACTCGTTCCTTCTGTGAAATCTTTTTCAAAAACGAATTAAAAACGAAGAAGATACCATATGGTATGCAGTTGGTAACGAGAGACAATGAATTTTTTTCTCAAAAAATATTAAAAATGGATCTCATTTTGTAGAGCACAACGAACTTGTTCCATCTGTGCAAAAAAAAAAAAAAAATTAAAATCCGAGTTATAACAAAGAAGATATGAGCCGATTAAGAAAACCAGGAAAAATAAAAATGCCTTTAATTCTCAACTCTTAGATCTGGATTTTCTGAATGAAGGGTCCAGATTTAGTTACTCATGGGTGCATAACTCATGGTTGTGCACTGTATCTTGAACCGCCCAAGTCGGGACCAAAGAAATTTTAAATTTATATTAAGTTATTAATTTATCGATTATTAATTTAAAAAGTTTATACTGTATACCTATTTGCTTGTAGAAACTCTTCCTTTGTGTTCTCTCTAAAATCGCACACAACCACGTCGCTTTGCACGGCTTTTTATAGTCTCGGCTTCTAGATCTTAGCCCTTGTTTATCACTTCAATATTTTCCTCAACTCCTACATTCTACTCTCAACTCAACATAGCTTTCTCAAGCTAGTCCCACCAAGTCAACAATTCTTTCATTACTGCTACAACTACTACACACTACAACAAATGTGGCCTTTTATGACCATTTTCATGCAACAAAATTATTTTTGGTCGGCAAAGGCTTATTTTTTATGACCAATTATATTTTAGTAATGAAAAGTTTGATGAATTGGTCACTAACTAAAAAAGAGTTCTTATAACCAAATTTAAATTTATATGACCAAAAAATTTAGTAATAAAATGTTGAATTTTTTTCCTAACCAAAACTATTTGTTTATTATCCTTAATGCTTTTTAAAGTAACTACTATTTTTGGTCACATAAACATGCTAAAATAGTCACTTACAAAGAAAAAAATAATTGTGACCATATCAAAATTTTACATTACTAAAAATATTGGTAATAAAGCAATAAAATAATTTTCTCACCAAATTTATTGGTTATGTTTGCCATCGCTATTTTTTCTAACTAAAATCGGGATTTGGGAACTGGGAAACAATTAAGTTTTGGCTCCGCTAGCTCTTCCAAATCCCTAGCCGTCGTCGCTCACTCTTCCAACCCGTGAGATCGCGGCCGCTGACTCCTTCGTCCAAGAGATCGCTGCCGACTCTTGCGAGTCCGCCGGGAACTGCGTCCCCGCGAAGCCGAAAATGGACTCGAGAAAGATTCTCAGGCGCTATGGAGGTGGAACCACAATGGCGGCGATTTGAAATTGAAGCCGGTCGTTAAGGTTCTGGAAATCAAGCAGATAGGCACCTCTTCTCTCCGATTAAGTCTCCACTCACCATGCGATGCTTGCCAGGCAGCTCAGCGACCGCGTCAACAAGGGATTCGTTGTTCAATTGATCGATTACTCGTGCTGCGATGTTCAGAATCTCAGGTGAGATTCTCATTCCTGGGAGGCTAACTATTCAATTTTCCTAGTTATTGCTCGTTTCTGGTGTGGTTTGGTCAGTTTGCAATTGCATTTGCTTTCTAGAAGGTCAGGGTTGGTGGCGGGGACTCTGGCGACGGAGGTGTAAGCGGGGGATTCGCGAACAGTAGAGTGAAGGAACCTTGGTCGCGGGAGAAAGATGCGTTGCTAGATAAACTGATGAGTAAGTTCGGGTCGAGGAATTAGAGCTTGATCTGCGGGGGATTCCAAGCCGGTTCAGTAAATCTTTTAGGCTTAGATGGTGTAACCAGCTTGGTCCTTGTTTGAAATGCAAGCCTTTCACTGGTAAGCTCTTACAGCTCCTAAATCTCCCCATCGCTCTCGCTCTATGTCTCTGCCTTGCATTTTCCATCTGGAGGGGGTTTCGGTTTTCTCAAGTTTTATGAAGAACAAACTGCAAAGGAAGCCAACTGGAGAGGAAGGAGAAGGAGATGAGGAGCACGGAGGGCAAGCCGGGGAAGATGTTAAAGTATGATGATGATGGTGATCTAATCATTTGCAGGGTATTTCGACTCTTTTTTCTCCTGTTCCTTCATGTGCTTTATTGATATGGTTTTACTCTGGTTTCTCTGATTTAGCTTGTTTTGCTGCTCTAGGTTACTTGGGTGTTTTGACTTTGTAAAGAGAAGGAATTAGAAGCATTGACAGTTCTTAATTATTATTTGCAATAAATTCAACGTACACACATTCATGTTTCAGCTTTTGGGCCTTGCAGCTGGTAGAACTAGTAGATACTGTTAGTGATTACTCTTTAGTTTTGGGGCTTGTAATGAGTATGTAGAACTAGTGTCATTGATTTTTCAATAAGTTCATGTTTCATAATTAATTGATCTCGGATTGGATTGTTTCAGTTTGGATGCATATGAGAACATACAAAATATCCAGAGATGATGATTGCAAACAATTTGTAAGTTCTGTTTCTTCTTTCTTCAACTGATTCTTCTCCTTGACTCATGTAAAATTCTAGCAATTTTTGGAATTTCTTATTACCCCTTTGTTATAATGATTATTATTGGCCTTAGTTGAGGATCAATTGGCATCCTTAGTGTGGGATTCTAAGCTTCCAGTGCTTTTGTTGCTTGTTTTCGAATTCATGATGATTTATGCAATGATATGTACTTATGTAGACTAGATTTTGCATCTAATGGTGTTTTAGGGGAAAAACATATCCACTTACCTGCAGACTGCTTTTCTATGGCGCTTGGTCTTGGGGATGAATCAATTAATGCATTGGTACTCTTTGTGATGTCGATGGTGTCATCGAAGATAAAAGTATTTATGCTGATGATAAATATTCTTTAGATTTAGGTTGACTAGCTACTAAGGGAGGACTTGTGTTGATTCTACGCACCCTACACGAGTGAACTTCAGTGACTTTCTGAAATATGCAGGGTGAACATAGTGGAGAGAATACGGGAGATGGCTTGGTTGAGATCGATATAAGGCTTGCTCTATAGCAAAAGACGAAACTTGTTTTGGTTCCAGAATGATTGTTTTGAGAGGTAATTTCACTTTTGTCCAGTGAAGTCCTTGTCTGTTGGACTGGGCACAATCTTTAGCATCCTTTGTTGTCTACTTTGAAGTTTAACCATTTCCACCTAATGTTATTGTTGCTAGAGCTCTCATTTGTTTTCATTTATGAGCTGTATCAGTGGACTAAAAGACTCTGCCTTTTGTTTTTATGTTAATAGGTAATCTTGCTTGTTTATGCTTTGGTGAAGCAGAAGGTATAACCTTAACTGGTAGCTGCGAAGGTAAGTTCCTCTCCATTAATATTATTTCATACCTCTTATGTAATGTATGAGTTAGGTCAGATCATGTTCCTCTCATTTAATGTCATACCTCTTACGTAATGCATGAGTTAGATTAGATCATGGTTTTGGTTTCCTCTGCTGTTTGGAATTTACTGTTTTTAAGAGCTTTGATGGGATAGGAAGTAGGGGATTCTTGTGGCTTTGTGGTTAGTCTCTTACTTGAGTGTATATTGGGGGAAATGATTGCTAACAGAGATATGACTCCTGATCATTCCTTGGCTTGTTATGTAGTATTTGGTTTGATTAGTTTAGTTGAGGGTTCTTTTTTGGACAATGAGTGGTTGTCCTGCTTATGCCCTGTCTTTCCCGTGCATTCTTAATATTATAGCTTTTGAACTCAAAGGAAAATAGACATCTAGATCTCCTTGAAATATTTCCACCTCAATCTCATATTTCCTAGTTGGGGTTTCATTATTATGTTGACTCATTTTTAATTGAGGTACTTGATAAGTCTATTCATGCCAATCTCCCATTTTGTTTACTACCCACCTGTATGTTTAACTCTGATGGTAGTAATAGGAGCATCATTAAATTTGGTTATAGGTAAAGAAGGTTGGTATTGTTTGTGGTTTGATATCAATCGGCCATAGAATGCATCTGCAAGTTTAAGATATCATTGAAGAGGTTCTAAGCAGTGTATGCTTTTTTCTTGTATGTTTGCAGAAGTAGAGAATAATGGAGAAGAAAGTGATTGTATCAGCCTATATAAAGTGGCGTACTATTATGAGACAGAAGGATGGGGAAATGAATTTGTAGAGGCTAACTATGTAAGTATCTATGGTCTGTTTGTCTTGTATTTGTTCTTAATTTATCGCCTTTTAATTAGCAAATGAATAGATAGTGAACCATTCAGTTCTGGACATCAAGTAGATAGGCACCTCTCTTCAACGATTAAGTCTCCACTCACCACGCGATGCTCGCTGGGCAGCTATGTTCAGAATCAGAGGTGAGTTTATCATCTCTAAATTGCTTCGTCGTTACTCTTAGCATTTTGAGAGTTGAAATGCATATACTTGTACAGTGATTCTGGGTTTTGTGTAATGGTTGAGAAGGATTATACGCCGGAGAAGGAAAGGGAGGGTAAGGTTTATTTAAGAAGTAGGGATTTTTCATCTTTTTCTCTTTCGCACTTCATTGGAGTAATAGATCTGAATGGTCTGTCATAGTATTAACTAGTAACTACTAACCCATATATTTTATCCACCCTCAGCTTTCTCATAAAATCGAGCTGGTTATTTGGATGCAACAGGAGAAGCTAAAGGATTTGAAGGATTTTGCAGCAGATGATTTCAACATTGGCATTCTCAGATTCCTGGGATGATGGTGTCAATACAGTAGATTATCATGCTCCTCTGTTTGGAATATTTAATTTTTCTCATTTTTGTACTCAAGTTTTTTTTGGTAGATGTGAACTACAACTGCTATTGACGAATGTAAATAGATATTTGGTTGGAAATAATGATGGTGACTATTATAATTGGTTACTCTAAAATGAATATGTTAGTTGCATAAAAATGGTTACCTCTACAAGATATGATTACCACAAAATATTGGTTGGAAATAATTTTTGTGACCAATAAAAATGAATTTCTTTTAACAATTGATTGGTTACATCATATACTTTTCAAAACCAAAAATGGTTGTGATGACCATAAAATATTAGTTAGGATAAGAGTTTCACAACCAAAATTTTGGTTACTTAAGGTTTGCTTACATTAGTTATAAAGAATAAGTTCGTAACCAAATTTTTTGGTTTAAATAATGGTATTTGTGACTTGATCATTTGGTTGGTAAAAGATATTTTAATTGGTTAATTTTTATACTATTTGTGACCAATCAGGTACTTTTCTGTGACCTTTCCGTATGAGTTGTTATAACCAATTACTTTGGTTGCAAAAATATTTGTTTTGTGACCAATTTGGCATTTCGTTACAAAATGATCGTGTATTGTGACCAAATCAAAATTTTGGTTAGAAATTGGTTTTCCTAACGGGGCGAATGTGACCAAGGGTTCAACCAAAATTTTTTGGTCACAACATAGGTTTTACGACCAAATATTGACATTTAGCGACCATTCAATTTCGTCACAAAAGGCAATTTCTGTTGTAGTGTACACCTGGCTCCCCATAAAAGCTTTCCACAACGCTCCCTCCAAATTAGGCTAATTATTAGGTTCCACAAAAATTTGTCAATCTTAGTCTTTTTACTAAAGAACTTATTTGTTGCTCACTTAAGATAATCCACAAATTCATTGTATGGATAACAAACTTGTTGAATCATAGACATACGGCTACTAAACACCTCAGAGGAGAAGCTATACTGAAATAAAAAACAAATGAGATCTTATTTCTCAAGCAGTGCCACAAAAAACATATATCACTTAGACTTTTCACTTGCACCAGATTATCTTTGGTAACCACTTAGTCCTTGATCACAAGCCAAAAAATGGAGTTGTGTCGTGGGATCAAACCATTCTTCCGTGTCAGAGCATACCAAAGCATGTGTGGTTTGGAGATTTGCAAATCCATCCATATTGTTTTCACTGAATAACAAGTCATTTGTTTGTTATTCCATAATACATGATCTCTCTAATGTGTAAAGAACCTATTCATCTTATTTCGTGCATTTATAATTTTTCTCCAAACCCACATACTGTTGCTGATGATTGCAAGTTCTCAAAAGTAAGCATTTTAATCTTGTACCTGTATACCCAACAACCCACCAAGAATCTCCCTTCATCAAAATATTCCATATGCGTCTAGTTATACAAGCATTATTCCCAGTCAGGAGACATTTAATGCCCAAATCTACCTCTTTCTTTGATATGGCGTTCTCTTATGCTACCACTACTTCAAATCTTTTAGAGTTTGCATCAACCCTATAGAAAGTGATTGTATATAGTCTCTTTCTCCTTTATTATGAGATGGGAAGTAGAAAATGTTATGAGATGGGAAGTAGAAAATGTTCATCAACGATGTACCATACTACTTATTATTGAGTTTATCAGTTGCACTTTACCCCAAAGCTATGAGTATAAGCTTCCACCCCGAGATCTTTGTTGTAATTCTGTCAACAAGTCATTTACAGTCTTGAGCTATTTTTTTTTTGTAATTAAAGGAACTCTGAGATATTTAACAGGCAATGAAGCCCTCTGAAACGCTACCAATGCAGCTACGGAATCATATACTCAACCTCACACACCCTTGGATAAAATAAATTACTTTTTTGGGTTGAAACAAAATCCTAACAACATATAGAACTTGTGCAGGACCCAACATACACCCCTCACAACATTCTTATTCTCATTTGAGGATAGTAGGAGATCATATGCAAATACTATAAGGGTAAATCCCCATTGGTTTACACCTAGGATGGTAGGGTACTCCCCTCCATCAACATTCTTATTCTCATTTGAGGATAGTAGGAGACCATCTGCAAATACTATAAGGATAAATCTCCATTGCTTTACACCTAGGATGGTAGGGTACTCCCCTGCATCAATATCCCTTTTGAGTAGACAAGACAAAATCTCCATGGCAATATTAAAAAAAAGGTATAGAGGGTCTCCTTGGCCTTCCTAAGACATTTCTTTTTTGAAAAATAACCACTTACACCACCTTTCACAACTACACTCAACATTGGTGAAGTGATACATGCTTGGATCCATTTTACAAACTGCTCAGGTAGTCTCATTGCCTTCATGGCTCTCATTATGAAGGACTAAATCGCCTGAGTTGAAGGTATTCATTATGTCAATTTTCATTGTACATCGAGGATAGATGTTCTTTTTATTGTAACCGTATACTTACTAAGTCTATTGGCTAATATTTTTGCAATGCATTTATAGATGACATTGCAACATGATAGAGGCCGAAACTGTTTCATTTGGTCAGCAGCTGGTACCTTAGGGATTAATACTAGCACAATTGACTAGATCTCCCTTGGTAGATGGCCAGTGGTAAATAAAGAATTTATTGTTCTTGTAACTTCATTACCAATTATACCTAAGAAGTCCTAAAGAACTCTACATGATATCCATCAGGACTGGGCGCCTAATTCAAACTCACACTGAACATTACTTTCTTCCCTAGTCACAGTTTTACATAAGTCAAATGCATCTTCAGCTGACAAATGACGAGAAACTTCAGAGTTTACTATACAGCAACTTAGTCCTCTTCTGAACAACCTGCAACTTCATAGTTTACTATACATAGTTTGTCAAAAAATCTACAGTAGGAGCACCAATCTCCTCCACGTTGGTAACTATAGAATCATCCACTCTCTTCAAGTGAGTGATGTTGTTTTTATTTTGCCTAAAGATCCCCTTACGTAACATATTTATTACAAATTATTAAAGGGCTTTTAGATTTAAGCCACTGCCACGTACTACTTCGCTGCCTCCTACCACCCGCCTTCCATAGCCTAACCTATCCATCGCAGGAGAGTGAATTCTGCCTCCTGCCATCGCATGCGCTTTCTTCATGTCGTTAAGCTTTCTAATCACTTGAAAATTCAGGGTTCCTTTTTCGGTTTTTTGTTGCTTCTCTTACTTGGCTTCACTGGTCCTGTTTCATTGCTGTTTTAGATTTCTTTCTCACTTTCCCAAATAAAACAAGACAATATTGACTGCTCCACTTTTCATCTTGAGACAAAAGGATAGATGCATACATAGCAAGTTGATCCACAAATGCATAGGCTTTTTCAAAAAAAGCAGTACCACTTTGAGTTTCTAGGGGATAATGTTCAATGACATCGATTTGTTGTTCTTCTATGAGTTATAACTTGCATAAAGTGGTTGCACTGTTTCCATTAGCAATAAACTGAATACTCGAGAAGGAGAAAGCTAGGGATGATCCACAACTGCAATGCTTGAGAAGGGTAGTTAGCAAAGCAAGATTCACAGGTAAAACTTTATTTCTGGCTTTGTATACTACTCGATTAGATTGATTTGTTATTTCTACTATCAATTATAACTTTCATACAGTGGCCACACTCTTCCACTACCAATAAACTAAAGTACTCCGACAAGGATAAAGCTAGGGATATCCACAAGACCACAACTGTGCTGCTTCATAAGGAAAACCAAGGGATGATTCACAGGTATATCTTCACTTCCAACTTTGTGCATGAAATTGTGTAACTTAGTCTCTTAAATCTATTTTGAAGAGCATCGAAGATTACGAAGACAACATCAAGAATATGCCTACGCGTCTCGAACCTCCAAAGTCTAAAGAACACTTTCACTGCCACAACATGAAAAACTAACCAGTACCAGAGACTCAAAACTGAACAATTCATCACCTTAACTTATCACAAATGATGCATTGAGTTACTGGAAGCCCAATATATTTTGATTCTAATAGATTCAGGGTGACACCACACCATAATCACTTGGCATAGCTTGCTATGATGCCACCAGCTGCCAAACATCTCCAACAAATGCAACCTTTATGATTACATGCATAAGCTTTATGTAGATTTTCATGTCAATGATTACAACTATATTTATGTTTAACACATTAGCTTACCAATAACTTGGATAAATTTAACTTTAATTGTTTACCCATAGGAGAAATATAGAGCATGCAAACACTTTGGTTCAACAACAAGATGGGGAAAAACAAAGCACATCTCAACAATAGTGACACATTAGACCCGGCCAAAGACCGGGCACCTAACTAGTATTGTACTATGGCTTTTTGCTTACAAAATATATCATATGCTCTTAGAAGTAGACCACATTTTTTGCTATTTTTGCCTCCTTTCCAAAGACTGCAAATGTAGGGTGATCTAGGACATCCTATTGAGACTCCTTCAAATTAGTTTTAGCTTGCTCGACTCTTACAGAAATGCCAAAATAAAATTCTTTATTAAGATATTTCAAATTTTTCTTTAGAATTATGAGTTTCTGAAAAACTCCGTAAAAGGGATAAGTTGATATTTGGGCACTCCAACTTCTTGAAATATATGTTTGAATCTAGCATGATCACTTCGACATAAAAAAATACCATTGTTATCAAAATCGGACCAGACCGTCCGGTTCAACCAAAAAAACCGGGACCGGCCAGACATCCGATTCCGGTAGGCTCATAACGCACAGAAAATTGATTGGCCGGGTCGTAACCGGTTTGCTCGGTTAACCGGCAAAACTGGAGGACCCGATCTGGCGGTATTTTTTTTACAGCTTTTAGTTTTAGATTTTATGTGCCAAATTTAAAATTAAAAAGGAAACAGAAGCTAGAAAAGGGAAGGAGAAGGGGGTCTTTAATTCTTTTCGTTTGACCACTTTCCCACTTTTATGTTCATTTCCTAATCTAGCAGACACTTTCCCAAATCGCCTCCTTCACTCTCCATTTACAAATACACCCTCTATTCCCTTCGTACTCTTTAGCTAGTTTTGAACCTTCTGCACTCTTACTTATTAGTAAATAGTAAGTATTATTATGGTTAACTTTTGATAATAATTGTTTTATTATATACGT